TTCCCCCAGTTTATGTACTGAGCACGACGTCCCATGGTATGGAATGTCCCTTTGGCCAGTTGGGGTCAGCTGTCCTGGCTGTGCCCCCTCCCAGCTTCTTGTGCACCTCCAGCCTGCTCAGTCGGTAGAGCATGGGAAGCTGAAAAGTCCTTGACTAGTGTAAGCACTGCTCAGCAACAACTAAAACATCGGTGTGTTATCAACTTTGTTCTCATCCTAAATCCAAAACACAGCACTGTACCAGCTACCAGGAAGGAAATTAACTATCCCTGCTGAAACCAGGACACTATCCTACAAGCAGCACAGGATTTGCAATCCACAGAGTAGCAAGCTCTTCAAAAAAGATGCACTATGTTTTGCAGAAGCTGGGAGTTGCAGAACAGTGAAGAGCAAACCCGCAGAGGGCTTCACAGCAATGCAGTATCATGAGGATAATGGCTTAGGTAAATGGAGATCTTTCCCTAGAAGTGCTGTAACTACCTGACGAGTCACCAATAACCTTCAGTGAGCCACTGCTGTCTGATTTGACCCCTCCTTCATCCCCAGCTTTGCAAACTTATAGATCAGTTTCCCCGATCAACATAATCTTGGTGTTCTCTAAAAGGATGGAAGAGATCTAAGTTGCACCTTCTCAATATCCTAGCATTCCCAGAAATCAGTTTTTGTCTTTTCCTAAGCTAAACTCACTTTTAGCACCATTTCTTGCTTCAGTTATTGTGTCCTTATTTCTAAGCTAAGAGTTGCTTGTAATGGACAAGAAATGTCCCATTCATCATTGCCCACTTATAAAGATACATAGTTTTACAGAGATAAAGTCATTACAACTAGGAGAAATGGGGGGAAAACAGAAGTCTATGGCTGACTCCTAAACCAAGAGTTAAATAGGCTGAATTACCATCTCCTGCTTCACCCAGCACTGGGCACTACAGTAACTTGCAGCCAACTAATGTAAAACACACTCAGTGTATTTGAAATCACAGGCTATCATAGTAACTAGCTCGGACAGAAAAGCAAGTGAGCTTTAGGACACGAGGCCTTCTTCAAATCCAAACCAGAAATGAACACACCTGTACCAAGCAGTAACTGCTTTCCAGTATGCCACACTGATGCCCCAGCACCCACTTACATTTAGTGCCCCAGAGGCATCACCACATAGCAGGTTTTTGATGAGGAATTACCTAGCTCTGACAAACCCAGAAAGATCTGGGCACACCCCATGCTAAGTCATGCCCCACATCTCTCTTCTGCAGTAGACTGCACTACTTCACAATTCTCCCCTTATGAGCTGCAAGAAATCAGTTTTCAAAGGAGCATGGCCAAATCTTAACTGAAATTTGGGACATTTTCAAGAATGACTGAAAACAGAAACAAATTGCAATCCACACATCCAAGACAGTTAAAATAGAGTTAAAACACCCTAGATGGGTAAAAGAAGTATCTATTGGTATGGCAACACAAGTAAGACCCTAGTTTCATCCGGCTATGAAGTCATAGCCACGGATACAGATTAAACATTGCATATGTGTACAGATTTCCAAATATAATTTTCCATACGGCTTTAAGTTGAGACGTTTACTCCCAGCTTATTGCTAATAACCCAATTCAGAAAACTGTTTACTAAAACAGCACTTTAACTGTTGAAGCTGGAGCTTCACTGAAGTGTTAAAAGTGCAGCTTAAAATACCACTGAACATAAAGTTAGCCTCAGAGAAGTTCAGCTTTCTATGTATTAGGCGTAAATCAACATCACTGAACAGCAGACTAAAACATTACAGAAAACCTGCAGATTACTATGCATCAACAGAACTAAGACTATTAGTCAACAGTGGAAGATAAAGTGTGGGCATAATGCATGGAGCAGAACACCAACGCATGTTTTGAGACAGAGCTGTTCTTTTCAGATCAGTGAATCATGAAATATTTTGTGTTATGCAACACTAAATCTAATGAGCTAAAAATAGCTAAAGAAATAGCGTGGGAAATACGCAGAACTTGTATTGCAGCTTTATTTCCCACACATTTAACAAGTAGCTGCATAACCGGGGGGGGGGGAATATCTATCCACACTTGGGATTTTGACAAATAATTCAAAAGCAAAAGTTTTCAGTGTTAAAATAAACCCTTGCAGAAAAGCATACTATTGAATTTTTCCACAGTGCGGCAATTTTAATACATCTTTGAACTTTCATAGAAATGGTTATTGACGTCTCAGGAGAGCTGGGAGGAGGAGACTTAGACCCCTTCCTCTCACCAATTAATCTAGTTCTTTCCTCCAAGAGGCTGAGATTTGTCCTGCAAAGACTTCATACCACAAAGACCCCAGTATTAAGGGTACTGAGACACCCCTCACTGTCCAGGGCCTTTCTGCTACAGCCTAACCTCTCCCACAGCCCAAAAGTCCTCACTGTTCCCATGCCCAGCAAGGCTTGGTACAGCTCTCCTCGATACTCTCTGGAGGAGTGCCACTGCCCAGAGGAGAGCCTGCAGCCTGCCTCTGGCCCATCACATCCCTACTGCCAGGGCACAAGCGCCGGGCAGCCATAGCACAGCTTCAGTTCCGCAGGGCAGGAGAGGCAGAGGCCAAGAGTTACCTCAAACACAGCAACTCACAGGAGTAACAAGCACCTAATAATTTTGGTGGTGACTGCCATTAAACATACAGACTATAATGCTACACCAATATTCATGACTCATTTTTCATGGGACATGACGAAGAGTCACAGTGATGGAGACTAATATACACACTGTAAAGTGCTAAATATCAGAGAGATGCTGAGATTACACAATAACAGAGACGATCCAATTCAGATCTTCGCTTGCAGAACAAAGACACACACACAAACAGTAAAGGCCAAGGATACTAGCAAGATCTCTCCCTTTGTTTTGCTCATTCACTTTTGGATTGCTGTGCATTCCACAAATAAGCAACTCCAGAGAAAAACATGTATAACAATCATTCCCATACACGTGTGTTTATTTCCATGAGATTTCTCCTACCTGGATGTAAGGGCACAGATGACCTTGCTCCACTGCTCAACTACTGCAGGGTGATGTCGCCAGTTGGCCACCATCTCTTTGGCAGTTTTCCAGTAAGGTGGTGTTGGAAAGCACCGTGTACAAGCTAGTAACCACACCTCAAACAGCACGCCAATTAATTTTTCAGCCAGATTCTCAGCAATGCCACCTTATAAGAGAAACAAAGCATGCCTTTAGTGAGTATTCAATCTAAATAACTTCAAATATCTCCCCAAGATGGTTTCAGTTTAAGTGCGTAAAGATTCTTAAGTTCATTTTTTCATCTTTTTCATTTAAGAGTGATTCCTGATTGCTTCCTACAGCGAATTAGCCTTTTTACAAGACCAAACACAATATATAAAGTGCAGCCACATATGTGTGTCACTAAGGGACACTGGGAATTCACTGATCTTACGCTGCCTTATTTTCCAGTAGGCAGGCCAAACAGCAAGACACACAGGGGTTTCAGTGAAACAAATAGGGAACAGCATTATCTGCAACCCTTCACTATGAACTGATCCTGTACAGAGTCATTGTTCTGCAAAAATACATTCAGGAGAACTCAGCTCCAAATCATTCAGTCTTTTCTGACAATGCTTTATTTCAGAGTAGTGTAGCAGAATTAGGAGCGAGCTATTGTACTTTGGTGGCTACTAAGAGCTTTTAACAGGTTTCCCCCATCCCCCTGGCAGCTCAACATCAAGCAGAGCCAAAGGTTTTTCCAGTAATTGAACCAAATGGAAGTTGAACATGAACCTTGCACAGTTGGAGCTGCTAGAAGCGTGTCATTGATCTGAAGAAGAAATAATAACAAAACCTCCCAGGTTTCTCTTGCCATAATTGTCGATTCGCGAGCCAGTTTCTGGACAGCTTTCAAAACCTGCAAGCACAATCTAATCTGACTAGATCCTGGGTCTGGCCTGCAAGAGAAGAAAACAATACTTGAGTCTCTGAACAAGAACTATAAAGTGATGTATACAATAATCTGAACTTTGAGCAATTACAAGAGGAAACATCAATATTATTGAACAAAAGCCAAGAACATGAGCTAATATGCTTCTATGCACCCTAACTCTGTCTCTAAGCATCCTAACTGCCTTAATGAGTACAAGATGTACTGTGACATTCTTCTCTACGTGACTGTGACATTCTGTGACACAGAACATTCTTCTCTACGTGACACAACCCCCCCCGCCATAGAGTGAACACTAACTGGAGCAAGCACAACCCATTATCCCAAAGGAATTTATCTTAGACCAAACAATGAGAATGTAGTTGAGACATTACTAATTGTTACTTAAATAAATCAGAAGGAAAATGGCAAAATTAGGAGAAAATATTGTTAGCAAACTAATTAAAGTTCTTCCTAGTTCTCTTCTTGCTTCCAAATGTAGGTCCAACTCTTACCCCCAACTCTTTGGATTTAGGGAAAAAAAAAACTAGAAGAGGGTCACTAAATAGGAAAATCAGATTAAAGGAAGAGGGGATAAGTAAGGAAGACAGGGAACAAGTTGATATTATCAAGGTTTTCCCTATATTAACAACCAGTTCCACACTGTCACTGCTGAGTCACTCAACATGAAGTGTTGCAGAAGCAGCACACTCTCTTCCCATCAGTTAGTTTGGACAAGGCAGAACAGGTACAAAATAGTAACATGAAACATTCTGGACAGTATCTGAGGACACTGGTGACAAAGTTGAGGAAGCCTAAAGTTTAAAAGGGTGGAAGAGGAGACTACAAATTGGAGTGTGCAATATATGCAAGCCATATTTCAACTTGTAAGCCATTTCCTCATCCCTCCTACCACTTACTGAAAGGATGACCAAAAAATCATAAAATATTACCTTCCACTGGACTGTTAAGTAGTATTACCAGATTCCTACCAAACATTTTCAATGTGGTGTAACCCACAAGTCATGTTGCATGGTAAGCATCTTAAGAACATGCTGATCCACTAGATAGAGATCCACTCTTCTTAGAGAATAGTAGCTCACATTGAGATCACTTATTGACAGACACACTTTAAAAATACTATCAACTCTCATCTTGATAGAATAAATGTTGTATTACAGTACTGGAAACAAAATTACAAAGAGACAAGATAGTATCTAATGCAAAATTGCAGACTACTAGTCACAGTTCAGGACTTCAGTGGGTTGCTTGATGCTAGTGCTAGATCCTAACAGACAGTCTCCGTAGAACAACAAAGCTTGGGACAAGTAAGCCCTGCCTTGGTTATAGCACTATTTTTCCCCTGAGCAACAACAGAGCAGATACTTCAATCAAGAGATAACCTTAATCTTGATAGGCTTGAAGTTTCAAAGCCTGTTTCAAGACTTGTTTCCCTAATGATTTAGGGAATCTATATGAAGGGGGCTAACACGTAGGAGCTCCATATGCAAGATGACTAATGGGATAATTCTGAGCTAATCTGGTAAAGGCAACTCTGAAGTCCCCATCCACCTACCAGTTCCTCTTGTCCACAAAGTCAACTGAATGCAAAATGCTGCAACCAAAGTTTGCCAGACTCATGTCTGTATTTCTACAGAACCTGGCCTTTTCATTCCCACACTTGTTTGCAACAAGAACTGTTCTCATGATTTCCTATGAGAAGCAGAAGTTATTACAAAAAAGTGTCTATTACACTTGGACAGTCACATGTTCCATGGTCTCAAACAATTCCAGACATTTTAGTTGCACAGAAGACCCTGGTATCTACACCTCAATCTCCTGGGGAAGGGAGGCAGGGGGAGAGAGTTCTTGTATTTTCTTTCTGTGCTTCCAACAAGAGTTTGCAGCACTGAAACTTTATCTCACAGCAGTAACTACCGCTGCTGCTTAAGTAATCTGCAAGGCTTCCTGAATATCGTAGGGTCGCTAGAGACAGAAAGCCTGGGTGTTGCATGGGGACTGCTCAAATACATCAAGAAAAGAAGTGTTCATTTCATTAGGGTGGACAGAAGGTCAGTGCTGGAGGGAAGGATGCAAGCACCCCCTCTCTAGTCAGTCCGGCAGACAGAGGAAAGGCAACCTGACTCACTCATGTTTCACTGTTCTTATTTTTCAGCACCACACTATTTCAAGGACTGTGCATGTAAACATTTGATTCAGCTGAGCATTCAAACTAGAATGATTTATACAAACCTGCTTTGTATTTGGTGTATTTAAGTTGAACTGCTCACTTAAGGCTGCTGCATTTCACACCTCAACTATACATCCTCCTCAGGGTCTGAAACCCTCACCACAACTTTGGGCCACCACTTTTAAGGCAGCCAAACCAACAGCTATGTCATTTCCAGGAAACCAGGATGAGGAAGGAAGCTATTTTAATCACAACCCTCCATAGGACATAGGCTTATAATAAAGGCTTAGTATTTTCAACACAAGAACAGGAGATTTTTCCAGGAGATAGTTCAATGCAGGTTGCTACTAGAGCTCCTGGTAAGTATTCTACAGGAGCCCATCAGCACCAGCAGCCTGCATCAATTCGTTAAAACCAGAAATTGTCCTCTTCCCCTCCACAGACACATAAGAATATAAGCCTTTGCTTTCACTCAAGCAAGGTGTGCACAACTCAGTTCTGCATTTAATTTCCATTACAGAATGTCTTCCTGTTGCTGAAGTGAATTCTGAACACAGCTCCCTGGAGGACAAAACATGAACTTTAAGTTCTTTTTCTTGAAAACAGAGTAGGGACTTGAACATCAAGTGTTGACAGCAACAGCCATGAAAAACAGTATTTCAGATATATCTCAGAAGCTTTTGAAAGAAAAACAATAGAATAGTTATACCGGGGGGCGGGGGAAGTGTTTAAAGTAATGATTTTCCAGCCCTCCCTGTCTCTGGATGTTAATTATTTCATTCAACAGCCATCATGGTCAGTCTACCACCCGGCATCGAGCTCCATCAACGAAGTTGGGAGAGAAGGGGGGAATGGCAGCTTGTGCCAACAGCATGCAAGAAACAGGACTACTGAACTGCCTGCTACCAGGGCCCCTGGTGTGAAAGCAGTCAAGGGATCATAGCAAGAACTATTTAATGGACTAGTGAAGAATTCATTCTCTGCTGTGCCAAAGGAATAAAGGTTGCCAGACAGTAGGCTATTCTGCATGTATTAAAGCTTAGAGACAACCTTCTGCAGAAGTCTTATCCAGAAGTATGCTTTCCTCAGATTTGTGCCATTGCCCTGACCATCCTTTAATGGGAATTTAAAATGCCTTTCTCACTACAATTTGAGAGCCATGACAACTAAGGTTAGGTGGTAGACTTTGAAGCAATGAATAAATAGCAAGTTATTATTCAAAGCCCTTTATTAACAAAGCCTTCAGGTAAAGTTAAGTGATCCAAGCGCAGCAGAGCACTCTGAAGGCCACTTGCAGGGATACATTATTAATACTGATAAAAGCAGATGATCTGGTACTTAACATACTAAACGTTGATCTCAAGTAATTTCAGGTAGCTAATATTTAAGTACTGTTTCACAGGGCACCATTAAATAATATCCTCTTACTTATCCAACAAGCAGCTAAACTTGTCATAAACTATAAACCAAGTATGATGTTTGAGCACTCTGACAATATAACTTTGTCCAAGACCTAGAAGCATGTGTATCTCAACATTATCATCTAAGGACGTCTCGTGTAACACCAGGTTGTCAAATAGCAAGCACGCCTCTACAGGATTCTTTCAGAGCTACCAGCGAAAGACAGTCAGCATAATAATGCCCATTTAACAGGCAGCAAGATGCAGGCACAAAGCAGCCACTTACTACAAGATGCTCCAGCACATCAGAAATGTGGTCAAGTCTTGAGCAAACAAAGCATGGGATTGCCATGATGTGCTCTTAGTTATCTCAGTTTTACACAATAACAAGCACGTGGTCACACAGTGGTGCTATCTAACCTTTCCCCCCGCCCTCCAGTCATTTAATAGAGATGGTTCTTGAAGGTCTTAAAACAGTAAACATTCAAGTCTATGAACGATCTGTAATTCTAATTACCTAAACACAGCAGCAACAACTCAATTTGCTACTGAAAATTACAAAACAGGTTTGGAGAGACACCTTCCTCCTACCTTTGCAGTGACAGTCTTATTTTAATCAAGAGCCTCCATGGCTCATCAGGCCTCTTTGACAGGTTACCTGCTGACTACAGCTTCGAATTCCTGAGCCTCCTGCGTGTCCCAGCCCTAACACTTACCTTGGTACAAAGAGATTTTGGAGATGTTTGAGAATGCTTTGAACATAAAGGTTTGGTTCCTTAATAACTGGTAAAGGAATGGAGTCCTTAGGTAATACAAGAGCCATAATCCAATCTGTATATACATCGACACAGTATTTCACAGTATCGCCATCCAGAGGGAGGGTCAGTCCATAACAAACCACCTCCATAGTCCATTTTACCTAACCAAACACAAAGCAAAAATAAATATTTATTAAAAATAAATATTAGCAAGTAAACAATCGTCAGTGCACATTGGTTCTAACTCAACAAAACAACAGTAGTTATGTGGTACGGGCAACTCTAGTTAACATACACTGCATGAAAACACCAAGTCATTAATTCGTATATCATGACATTATGAAGATTATGAATAAATGGCAAAGCACTAAATCCTGAATGTCTTTAGTCTAACCTGTAGAGAGAACTCTTCAACACACACAAGAGCTGATGTCATGTAAGATTTTCAAATTCAATATTTGTATTGTACTATACAAAGACTTTTTTTAAAAGTCACATACTGTTGCTTTAAAAATGAAGGTAATTAGAAAGGCTTTATGGTGGGTGTTAGTTTGTTTGGGTTTTTTTTTGCTTTAGCCTGAGCTTCCTGGTAGCTCAGGTAAACACTTACTACTAGGTCATGAAGTACACCATTGCTATGAACTAGCTGTTAATAGAAGCCTTATGTAGATTACTAACATAAAAGTATAGCACATTTGATAAAACTTGGACTATTAAAGAGAGAAAAATAAAAGAGGCTATAGAAAATCATTACGTTTCCACTCTAGCATGAAGGAAACTATGATCTCCAAGGAAATGCACTTACTTCTTTGTCTGTTTTTAGTAAACTCTCACTTCCAACGGATGATGTAATTAAAGCTTGTCCAAGAGGACGCACCACTGCATTTGCCACTTCTCTCCCCACGTTTTCAGGATAGCTGTGAAGTACGCTGGTATTACCCTGATCATTTTGAATGACAAGATGCAAGGATCTCCACTCCGAGTACATAGTGCCTCTATGCTACAATCCAAATAAAACCTGGGGGCAAGGAAGAAAGACATAATTAATAAAAATGTCTATGACATGACTTACCAAAACTGAGGCTGTTTGCCATGTTACAGACCCTTGAAAATTCAAGATGCACATGTCTGTGTCATACATTTGAAGACCTAGAAGAGATTCCAACAGCTGTTTTTCAAGCTTAGTATGTTTTTTGTTTGTTTGTTTTTTAATATAGCTGTGAGCTTGTTTGTTTTTAAAAAAAGATTACAGTAAGTTTCAGTTCGGGACTAGCAGCCTTTTTGAGACACTTAATTAGCTATGTCCTAATGCATTTCAAATCCATGTAAAGTCAATACACACACAGAGTCACTCCTTAATTTAGATTTGTCCCAAAGATTCAGGAGAGAAAAGCCACTAGAAAATTTCCCTAGAAAATTTCCCAGATGCTCTCTCAGAACTAGACAGGAGAAGCACAGAGTCCTCCTTTCAATGACACTCCCAGCACAACTGCAGTTGTGCATTTTCCCTTATTGCAGATTGAGCCAGCTCAGGGAGCCAAGCTGACAGTGAACTAATCAGGTTTTTGCAGTGGTGGGTTTTGGGGATTTTTTTTTTTGTATTGTTGTGAAACCACAACCAAGAGAGGCAGATTAGAAGCAGCAAAAGTTAAGCTACGCTTCCACAGTCACTCTCAGCAAGCATTTGCCCAGAAGCACGCAGGGTATGCCCTTCTGCCCCGAGAGCAGTGGATCGTGCTGCACCATCAGCACATACACACCACCTTACCTGCTGTACAGAAACATGCTTGGGAGCCTGGCCAGAGCAAGCAGCCCCGGGCAGCAGGGAGGCACAGTGTGACAAGGCCAGCAGCTGGTCACAGGACTGCCGTCCAGTCTCACCAGGCAGCGCTGGGCAGCTCAAGATCTGCCATGCACTGCCAGTTTTGCTCTACACATCAAAACATTCGGAAAGCTAAGCCAGCACAAATGTTTTGTCTGCTGAGACAGTTTTTAGCTGGATCAAGATCTGATCTAACTCAGGTGAGGTGAACATCTGTGCCAACAGAAAGGAGCAGTGAGGACACATGGCCGGGAGGGGTGGCAGGAGCATCCCTTCTGGCAGTAGCAGGCTTTTGTACCCACTCACAGCAACATTAAAACTGCTGCTTAAGCAGGTGGTACCATGGCAGCCTAAGCCATCAGAATTGGGACTGCACTATCTCCCTCTTTCCTCCTCTCCCACCAACACCAGCAGTCTTTTATCAGTTATCTGAGCCAGCTGACCACGTGAACAATAAAACAAGGAAAACAGGGTTGGCACAGGAGAAAAGCAAGGAGTATTCAACAGCCACAGCTTAGATCAGCTCAAGCTGTCACCCTGAGGACTGTTCGCCAACTACACTTAGCTGGCACATTTTGGAATCCCAAAACAGGGAATGTTTTGAATGCCTCCCTTAGACATTCCCGGGCCCAAAACCAAACAAGAAGCCAGGCCTGGAAATACACCTTCCTAGGGACAAGCCACCATTTAAACAGGTCTGCCTATTTAGCTGACTCCCCGAGTGTTTATTTACACCCAAAACCTACGTAAAAAGCCTAATGATTCCCTTCAAGGGAGGAGGGAAGGTGAAGCAGCAAAATCTTGGTTTTCCAAACGACGTCCTTCCTGGTTTGAGGCAGCAATCACATGTGCTCATCTGATAGCAAATTAATCAGAGCAGCCACAGCCTGCGGGAAGCATATCCTCTCCATGCTTTAGGCATTTTCTCTCCTCTGGGGGCCATGGGGGGGAAACACGTGTGCCACTGCAGTCAAAACCCTTCGGCTTAGAGGAAAACAACAATTCTAAGACACTAGCTCTTGGGACACAGAGAAGTCACAACAAAAAAAGCAAACAAAAAACCCCACCAAAATGAACATGACCCACAATCCTTGGTGATGGCTTCAGTCACTGTTTAACTTATATAGGTTTCCCTACTGCTATCTTTTCCCCTTTCTTCACATCCTACACCCACTGGGCCCCTTCATCTTCCTCTTTCTGTCCCACCTGAACACTGCCTTAGTCTCCAGCTTGTGTTTGGAGTGGAAGAAGGAGGGACAGAAGTGAAGTATCATCCACTTTGCAAGACTTCCCCTTCCCCTCCCAGGCCCACAGCACTGCCTCTATCCCCAGAGCAGCATGCCCCTTCCCCCCGGCTTTGCTGCTCACCACAAGTGAAGGGCAAAGGCACTCTCCACTCCTCCCATTTTGACACTCAAGTTCATTACAGAAGCACATAACACCATTTGAGGAGCATTGGTTTAAATAAACTGATTTCAACTGATAAAGCAGCATGTACTTTCCATCACCACGCTCCAGCTGAAGGACTGGCAGTTAACAGCTCATGGCAGGAACTTATCAGCGTGCTGATAACTGCAAGCACACTTACTGTGGCTGCCCTTATACCAGAACAGGGTTCTCAGGAACATGGAAGCGCTGCACAGCACAAGCAAATTGTAGACAGCACCTATGTAGGAGCTTTCTCATCTAGAAGACAAAAGTCATCAGAGAGGACAAGGATTCCCAAATCCTGCTGCATTTTGGAAGACCCTCATTGCACTAGAGCAAGGCAATGGGAGGACGCAACCATGTGCCTTCGTGCAGCTCCCTGCCATGCTGAAGCAAAGATGCAAAGCTCTTTTGAGTGACCCTTGCACACTTCTGAGAGGAGCAGCATTTATAACAGATACAGGACAGATATAATATGCCACATTTAAGAGAGGTTTAGCAGCAGGATGGGGTAACCAAAACCTCTGATGCCACACGCACCCAGCCTACTGCCTGACCTTCATACATAAATTTAATCATCAAATCTGTATCTTATTAATATTGAAGATTTCCTTTGGTCTTGGCATAAAAGAAATCTTATGTTAGTTTTATCAATATACAAGGAATACTGAAACAAGTAATTGCTTCAGATGTAAAATCCTTTTGAGGTGGGATTTCCTAGGGTATTGATTTATTTGCCCCCTACATTTAGCAGTAAGAAGTTTTTATTTGCAAGGACTAGAAGTTACTTTCATTTAAGACTCCACTTCAACTGCCATTTGAATTGGAAATTGCTGCCATCTGTTAGGATTGGGGTGTAGCTAAACCCATCTACTATGCAGCTTCTTATAACTGGACATAAGTTAAAAAAGGCTGGTAAGTCTCCCCACACAATTGTATCTGTTACAACATTCTGTTTCGACAGATTCAACATACTGACAGTTCTACAACTTGCTTTAAACAAAAGGCACCTAATGCTTTGTAGAAGCAGGACTCACTCCCTCAGAAGAGGCTGTATTTATCACAAATTACTTAAACAGCAACAGCAAATTGAAAAAAACAACAAAAAACCCAACAGTCACACCACACAAACAGCATACCCTGATTTTTACTTCTGTTTTTGCAATGCTTCTGCATTTCAGCTTCAAAAAAGCACTCTTACTGGCCCAAATAACATCTCCTAAGTTTCACGCAGCTGAATATTCATATTTCACATAAACATATGTCTTATTGAGGTTTAAATCACTAAGGACTCTCAGAATAACAGGCAACCTAATTAAGAGGAGGCATGGGAAGAAAAATAAATAAACCCCTGAAGTTTACCAAGCAGTTTTACATACTCTCAAGTTTGGAAAGGGGTCGTGTTTACATTCCTGGAGGCTGCACTAAATACAACATCCCCAGATTCTCACAGACAGACCTGGAAAGAAATTGTCAGCATTAACACTGACAGAACAACTGAGAGATGTTAAGTTAAAATATTTACCATCTACTATGAAACCGAGCATAATTCCAGTATTCCTTAGTGTGATAAATAATTTGGGTTTCAATATATTCCCTCCAGATCCATTTCAGCTTAGGAATTTTAGTAGCTATCACCATATAAACCACTGAAAATGGATGTTTCAGCATTCAAGACCAAAGATCCTCCGTTCATAAACACTGTAGAAGTTGGCGAGTGTGAAAGAACTTACTAACGAGCCCATAAAACTCCAAAAATAAAGATATTTAAGTTCTCTTTCCAGTCCCCAAAGACTTAATATGAACAGCTGCAGCCAAAATATTTAAACTCCTGGATCAGTAAAGTTAGACAGTGAGAACTGCTCAACTAAGTAACAGACCCACATTCCACAATTACTTTGAAGGAATATGCAGGAGCTCAGAGCCTAAAGCAGAGGTGCGCTTTTTGGAGTGTGTGCAGGGGAGAGGTCAGGGAACCAATATTGGCGTACAAAGCAGTTCCTCAGAAAGTGTGTGCCGAGTGAGGGGAGTGCTGGGGGCAAACATGAACATTTAACCCTTTGTGCTCAGCAGCTTCATACGTAAAATGAAATGTTTGCCTACAATGCAAAAGGATTTCAAGCAGAGACAAGCTGTCCCAAAAATGGATGCTTCTTGGGTTTTATCAGAATCAAAAAAGCAAAGCCTGAGCTGAAAATTCAGAAGCAATTGTTATTAATATAGTAGATGCAAAGACCATCAGCAGAGAGATGCCCAAGGAAGACTGAAGACCTAGTAGAGCCTAAACCAGAGAAGCATCAACATAAAGGGTGTACACCATAAAGTTCTGGGACATTAGATATATTTTATAAGTATTTCACAGTAAACAAGTAATCCCTCTCTCTAACACGACCCCTACTACATCAACAGTACTGACATCTGCTCTCTAGATGCAACAATTACTGTCAGAAAGCCATCTTGCTACAACCCATGTTCCCTGGATCACGTACCAAAGAGGTTTATGAGCAATTTTTCAAGCCAGCTGAGGCCTATGACATCCTGAGCGTGGACAACTGCCATGTGCCCACTGCCCCTCTGCCCTCCAAGTTTCTGCTGGAGAGAGCGACTTAGACCTCGTGAAGACTAACTCAGCACCTCTCATACTAAGCCCACCAGGACTGAAGAAGCGCAGACCCCTCCAGGCAGCTCACCTTTGGAGCCCATCCAACAGGTAGGCTCTGCCCTAGGCACGCACCATGTGTAAAGGACAACAGGCAGAGCAGATA